GTGATCATGGGTCAGAAAACTCATATGGTTAAGATGCCAGTTCTCCCCAAATTGATCTATAAATTCAACATAATTTCAATCAAAATCCCAGCCAACTTAAAAATATATATATTGACAGGCAGATTTTATATGGAAATGTAAAAGACTAAGATTAACCAAGAAAACTGATAAAAGAGAACACAATTGGAACACTAACACTACTTTCAAGATTTATAAAGGTATGGGAGTCAAGACAGGGTGATACCGGCATAAATATAGACAAATGGCTCATTGGCACAGCACAGACTGTCCAGGAAAGATTGTACCCATCTGATTTTTCACAAAAGTGCAAAGGCAAATCTTTGATAAGTGGTACCAGCATACTTGGCTATCTATCTGTAAAGAAGTAAACGTCAGTCTCTACCTTGCAACATGTACAAAGATTATCTTCAAGTGGATCATAGACCTAGATGTAAAACCTAACCCTATAAAAGTTTTACAAGAACATATAAGGAAAAAAAAACCTTTGTAGCCTCAGGCTGGGCAAAGATTTCTTAGATACGAAGCCCAAAGCACAATTTAGAGGAGAAAATATTGATAAATTTGATTTCATCAAAATTCAAGATTTCTAATCTTCAAAAGACCTGTTAAGAGAATGACAAAACTTCATAGCTGAAAGAAAATATTAGCAAATCACATATCTGATAGAAAACTTGTATTCACAATACATAAAGAACTCTCAAAACTCAGTAATAAGAAAACAAACAACCCAATAAAAATGGATAAAAGATTTTACTAGACATTTCACCAAAAAAGATACATGGATAACAAATAAGCACATGAAAGGATGGTCAGTATCATTAGTCATTATGGAAACGCCCATCAAAACCATGAGATAAGCACTTCACCCCCATTAGGATGGCTATGATAAAAACAGACAGCAATGAGTGTTGGGCAGCATGTGGAGAAACTGGAACCCCCTGCCCCCCCGCCCCCGCACTGTAATTTGCTGGTGGGAATAGTAAGATGGTATTGCCACTTTGGAAAACAGCTTGGTATTTCTTAAATAGTTAAAAATAAATGTATTATCTGACCCAATAATTCCACTTCTAAGTATATACCCATTAAAAGAGAATTAAAAACATATATCCACACAAAAAATCACGCATGTTCATGGCAGCATTATTAATAGTGGCCAAAAAGTGGCAACAATCCAAACGTCCATTAGTGGCAAATGGGGAGATAAAATGCAGTCTATCCATACAGGAATCCAAAGAAATGGAGTATTGCTATAATTTGGATGCGCATTGAAAACGTGCTAAGTGAAAGAAGCTAGACACAAAAGGCCACATATTCTGTGATTCTGTGTTTATGAAATGTCCAGAGAAGGTAAATCTATGGAAATAGAAAGCAAATTAGTGGTTGCGAAGCAGGGGGTGGGAATAGGGATTGACTTCTTTGGGGGCAGAAAGGATCATTTGGGGATGATGGAAATGGTCTCCAACTGCACCGTGTTGATGGTTACACAGCTCTGGGTTTATTAAAAGTTGTGAGGGGTGTGCTCAGAGCAGGGGGCCTGAAGAAATGGCCCCTCTGTTTACAACACACCCAAAAGGAATCTGGGTTCATTGTGACAAGGGGCACAAAACTTGTGGCCTTCCTATGTACAAATACCCTACATGTGTCACAAAATAAAAATAAAATCGAGGTTGTTGAATTGTACTTAAACTAGTGAATTGTATGGCATATAAATTATCCCTCAATAGAGCTATTTAAAATAAAATGGTGGGGGCGCCTGGGTGGCTCAGTCATTAAGCGTCTGCCTTCCGCTCAGGTCATGATCCCAGGGTCCTAGGATTGAGCCCTGCATCGGGCTCCCTGCTCTGTGGGAAGCCTGCTTCTCCCTCTCCCACTCCCCCTCTTGTGTTCCCTCCCTCGCTGTGTCTCTCTCTGTCAAATAAATAAATAAAATCTTTAAAAATAAATAAAAAATAAAAATAAAATGGTGTATAGTAATCAGGACAGCATAATATTGGGGAAAGAATAGACAAAGAAATGAATGGAACAGAACAGAGAGGCCAGGAATATACCCATTCAACTATAGTCAACTGATTTTTGACAAAGGTGCAAAGGCAATTCAGTGGGGGAAAAGATAATTTCTCCAACAAATGGTGCTGGGCACAACTGGATATCCGTATCCAAAAGACAAAAATCTAGACACAAACCTTAGACCTTTCACAAATGTTAACTCAGAATGGATTGTAGCCCTAAGTGTAAAATGCAAAATTATAAAACTTCTAGAAGATAACACAGAAGAAAATCTAGGTGACCTTGGGTTTGGCAGTGGGGTTTTATATACCACACCAAGATCATTGTCCATGAAAGAAAAAAATGATAGTGTAGACTGTATTAAAACCAAAAACTCTCATTCTGTGAAAGACACTGTTCAGAGAATGAAAAGGCAAGTCATAGGCTGGAAGGAAATATTTGCAAATATCTGATAAATGACTTGTATCCAAAATATACAAAGAACTCTTAATCAGCAGTAAGAAAACAAACAACCCAATTGAAAGAAAGGGCCAAAGATCTGACCAGATGCTTCACCAAAGAAAATATACTAATGGAAAATAATCACCAGAAAAGATGCTCAGCATCATATGTCTTTAGAGAACTACAAATTACAACAACAAGGAGACAGTACTATACACCTATTAGAATGACTAAAATTGGGGCGCCTGGGTGGCTCAGCTGGTTAAGTGTCTGCCTTTGGCTCAGGTCATGATCTCGGGGTCTCCTGGGATCAAGCCCCACGTCGGGCTTCCTGCTTCGCAGGGAGTCTGCTTCTCCCTCTTCCTCTGCCCCTCTCCCCCTCCCCCCCTCGTGCTCTATCTCTCACTCATGCTGTACCTCAAATAAATAAATAAAATCTTAAAAAAAAAGAATGACTAAAATCCAAAAAACTGATAACACCAAATGCTGACAAGGATGCTGAGCAACAGTAAGTCTCATTCATTGCTGGTGAGAATGCAAAATGGTGCAGCCACTCTGGAAGACAGTTTGGTGGTTTCTTACAAAGCTAAATAGAATATTGTTTCAAAGCATATTTATTTAGCTGTTTCTTACAGAGTCTCACTCCTGGTATTTACCCATTTGAATTGAAGACTATGCTCACACGATAACCTGCAGGTGAATGTTTATAGCCGCTTTCTTCATAATTGCCACAACTTGGAATCAACCAAGTTGCCTTTCAATGGATTAATGGATAAATGGAATATTATGTAGGGACGGAAAGAAGTGATCAGGCCACAAAAAGACTGGAGAGACCTTAAATGCTAAGTGAAAGGAGTGAAAGAAGCCAGTCTAAAAAGGCTGCATACTGCATGATTGCAACTGTGTGGCATTCTGGACAAGTTAAGACCATAAAGACAGTGAAGAGATGAGTGGTGGCCAGGGGTGCAGGAGGAGCCGGGTAGGGATGAATAGGTGGGGCATGAGACATTTTTAGGGCAGTGAATTTCTCTGTCTGGTGCTGTAATGGTGGATGCATGACATTATGAATTTGTTAAAACTACAGAACACCATGAACCCTAATGTGGTTTAACTATGGACTGTAGTTAATAAAAAATAAGATTAAATAAATACAAAAAAAGCATCATGATGCAACACTGCAAAAATGTTTTGCTTTGTTATATGCCAATTTTACCTCCATAACAGGTAAATTTGTTAAAAAAATAATAAAATCTTTGAGCCATACCTTCTGTGACAGACCAGTAACCTCTGAGCTCCCAGGCACACGGTCTGCAATTGTTGGCTCCTTGTGAATAGAAGTGATTTCTCTTCCTTCCCGTTCTGTAGAACCATTTCTCATGGCTTTTTACAGCCTGGAGGGATAATCGCTGTTTGATGAGAGCAGCTTGGAAGAAGCCATTCTGGAAATGATGACGCATGAAACTCTGGGTCATTTGCTGATGCTTAGTGTGTCTGGGGCCCAGTCCCGAGTGGCGTTTGCTCTGAAAGTCAGCAACTAAGTGGATGGGTGTTTGGCAGGCTGGACACCTGAGTTCTGAGTCCTGTTGTGTCGTTAACTGGCTGCCAGGTTTGGGGGCAAATCACTTACTTTACCGTGGCCCATCTCAGCTTCTTTGTACAATGAGTGGGTTTTCTGGGGGAATTTCTCTGGCTTCTTCCAGTTCCAGACCCCATTTCTGTCAATATCAAACCCTCTCCCACACTTTTGCCTGGAGTGGAATGTGTGTCTTGTGTGTATACATGTGTCCCAGGGCACTTGGCACAGCAGGGGCCCTCTCGTGTGGGGCTCCAGACGCCATCCCCGCAGTGTGCCCTCTCTCCGCCCCAGGTTGTGGGTAGAGACCTGGGGCCTGGGCCTGGCTTGCTCCGGGCTAGTGGCCCAGGGCAGGCCCAGAGGTTGGTGGCAGCCAGGCACCAGCCGCTCCTCCCAGCGCTGTTGTTCTTTCAGCCCTTTGTGCTTTCATACATCCCAGCCCCGAATTCTCTCTTGGCAAAGAGGATCTCCTCCATCTCCAAAGAAATGCCCACAAAGCAGTTCTGGTATTTTCTTAGCCCACAACTGAGTCGTGGTCTGTAGTGCTATTGTGATTCCAAAACTCTAAGCCTCCAAGTTAGAAGATTTTCCTAGTAACTGAGACCCCAAAAGCATTTAACTTTTTTTTTTTTTATGTTGAATTAGTTAAGTGGACATTTTGGGATAGAAGATATCTTCAGCTAGTATTATTCCGGTGAGCCTAGCTTTGCTTACTTTGAGGATCTTGGGACATAGTTGACTAAGAAGCTCCGTGAGGTCTGAATGGGGTCATGGTGAAGTACCTGATCAGATTCTCAACCTGGATATCAAGGTCAAATGTCCTTAATGAGGGAGGGTAAAGGGCAAGAGAATCTGCTTCTTTTGACAATTTGTGATATCCTGGGACCGTCTTCAATATTGAAAAATTAAGCTCCATGAAAAACAACTCAGCCAGGTTTTGTATGTTTGATTTTTTTAGGACTTTGTTTAGAGAAGCTGCCTGTTTCCTCTTCTACCAGTAACCTCCACGTGGACCGGGAACAGGATGTTATCACCTGTTATGAGAAAGCAGGGGACATTGCGCTCCTGTACCTCCAAGAGATAGAAAGGGTAAGTGAGTACCATGTGTTTCTTCCAGTTGATAATTTTTAAAAATTTCAAATCAGACTGTAGAGAACTGTGGTCAGCCTCTGGAAAACCTTCAACATCTGCCTCTGGGTGCAAAGCTTTACTCCTATTCTTCAGTGCAAAGGAGATGGTGGTGATTGCGGCACCTTGTGAAGAGTGTTTGGGAAGCATTTTCACATCCTCAGAGCAGAAATGACAGTGTGCCCCGAAGCTGGTTAGTCATTCATGTTCTCCTACGCACAATGGGGTGAGCTGCATTTGTACTTGCATGGATGAGATGCCAACAGAATGTACATCTGGGGCTTGGGAGACTTTACCTCAGTCATTATGCAAAAGGTCTGCTGGGGACTCCCAGCTGACCTTTGTGGAGCGGGTGTGCATCCCCTGAGACCATCTGGGATGGCTTACTCCCAGCAGTCAGTGGTGGCCTGTGGTGGGTAATGAAACCAGCAGCTGACAAGCGGGGGGGGGCCCCGAGCAGAGCCAGAGGGAGCAGGAGGCCCTGAACTCACACCCTCAGGCAGAGGAGGTTGGAGGCTCGTCTGTTCTGAACTTGTCTCTTCAGAAGGATCACTGCTCTTTACTGTTCCTTCATCTCAGCCTCAATTTTACCATCTGTGAAAAGAGCAGAATAGTTTCTACTCCGTGGAGTTCTGGTGGGGATTATAAAAGATCATGTAAATAAAGGGACTTAGCTCAGATGCAGAAACATTGGATTCTTGGTAAATGTCACTTATTTTTTTACTAATAACAACGGGTTCTGACCATCTCTGCTCCTAGCAGAGTTTCCTGGCATTCTCACCAAGGCCCGACACTGAGATGTCCCCCCCTTTACACCCAGAGACATGTCCTGTGAGATTATTTAAAATGATGAGAAATCCTGTGAGACTTTGAAAATGACCCAAGTCTTGTTTCCCATCAGTTTGGGGGGTTCTCTGTTTCCCTAAGGATCAGAATGGTTAGCTTTGTTCTGTTGTCAGTGCATAGACTGAAGTCATTTTTTTCCGCAAGTCTTCTCATAGTGGGTTGGTGTGTGTGACGAGGATCAGAATTGCTCTATAAGGGGCGGGCAGCGCAGGTGAGAGCCACAGAGAGGAGTAGGGGAGGATGATGGGACCAGCTTTGGACTTGGCCAACACCAGCATGGGTTCTAAATCACAGGTCATGATGTCTGGGAACTCAGGAAGATACTTGACCATCTTGCCAAAATGTCCTATCAGAAGGCTGTTATGAGAAAGGAATTTTTTGGTTATTCAGAGTTCTTGGTATGATCTTTAGAGAAATGATCATGCAGCCTGCTTTTAAAATCCACACGGTCTTCACTGTGTGCCTCCTTGATATCCAGTGCTTGGAAGTGGAGAAGTCGGTTTAGTGCAGCCAAGCTGTTCCTGTTGACCCCACAGCCCTTTTGCCACGTAGGGGCCCTTGCTTTGCACCTTACTCTCCCAACAGTTGTTGCAGCCCTGTCATCTTGGGGCTGCCTTCTCCTGGCGGAGAGGAGGTGCGTCTGTTACACGTGTCTTTAATGACCTGGGGATTGGCAGATCTGGATGTACTTCCTGTTGTGTTCGTATATAATCACCTGTTCACTGTTGGGTTCTCTGGCCAGACCATCAAGGAGACTTGTATAATCATAGGAATTTTTTTTTTAAAGATTTATTTATTTATTTTGGAGAGAGAGAGAGAGAGAACATGAGCAGGATGGACAGAGGGAGAGGGAGAGAGAGAATCTCAAGCAGACTCCACGCTAAGCACAGAGCCCCATGTGCAGCTCTGTCTCACAACTCTGAGGTCATGACCTGAGTGGAAATCGGAAGTTGGATGCTTAACCGACTATGCCACCCAGGTGCCCCTTATCATAGGATTTTTTTTTTTTAAAGATTTTATTCATTTATTTGAGAGAGAGAGAGAGAATGAGAGAGAGAGAAAGAACATGAGATGGGGGGAGGGTCAGAGGGAGAAGCAGACTCCCCACCGAGCAGGGAGCCCGATGCAGGACTCGATCCTGGGACTCCAGGATCATGACCTGAGCTGAAGGCAGCTGCTCAACCAACTGAGCCACCCAGGCGCCCCCTTTTCATAGGATTTAAAAGAGATTTTTGGGTGTGGTTTTGGGGAGGCAGTGGTCAGAGGATGTCAGATTTGAAGATGAAATGGAGGCCCAGTCAAGGAGGACACATAGAAGTTAGGACCAAAGCTAGGACTAGAAGTCTTCCGACACCTAGTTCAGGACCCACTCGTGTCATTATCCCAGGCCGCCACACACAAGTGCACAACTGTGTCATTTCCCACACCCTCACCTACAGAAAGCGCTCTATAAGAATTGGGCCAAGCAAGCCATAGCTCTTGGTAGCATGGGGAAGCTGCCTCAGCCTTGGGTGCCTCTTAGGGGTCATAGATGATTTTCACATTTCTGGCTCCGATTTTCCAACGTGAGTTTTCCTTTATGGGAAACCACTTCAGGCCTCCCCAGGTCCAGCAAGCTGGGATATTAGTGCTGGGAGAGACTGAATGAAACAAATAGCTGTTTTGACTGTAGTAAGAGCTCAAGAAGCCATTTGTTGATTGATGGGAAGCCTAAGGGAAAAATGACCTTCCCTAAGTGACTGCTGGGCTTGGTGGATGTTCGAGGTCTTCATGAGGCAAGATGGGATGCTGTGCAGAAGATACCTGCTTGGCCTTTTTTTAAAATTTTGAACTTAAAATGACTTTTAAGGATTATGCTAAATTAAAAACAGAAATGTTAGGGAAATAGAATCTGAAAGAAGTAACAGCCTGGCATAAGCCTAGGTATATAGTGCTTTGTTTTTCTGGGTAGGCAAGCCTTGTAAGTAGAAAATCCCACACACTCTGTTCCTCTGTTGGTTCTGCTGGGCACAGGCCATTGCTCAGTGGTTTCCCTCCATTTCCCAGCCATTCCATGGTGAAGAAGCTTCTGTTGGCCAGGACCTTTTGGCATTTTATTTATTAGTGTTGGTTCTTAACTTCATTCACTAGCAAGAAAAAATTGGGGAAGAATTTTTGAGGACAGATTGGAGTGTCATGGTCAATATTTTCTCATGACCTGAAGCCGCTAAATCATGTTTCTGAGGCAGCCCTATTCTCTGAATAGTGGAGATGTTTGATGATAGATTTGTTTGCTACCTAAAGAGCAATAACTCTCCAGAAAGGGGCGACCTTGGCTGCCCCTCAAGGCAGCTAACTTAAGCCGTGAGAGGCAGCAGAGCGCAGTGGTGAAGCGATGGCTGGTGTTGGGATCCTGGATTTGCCACCTTTTAGCTGTGGGACTTTGGGCAAGTTACTCAGCCTCTCTGTGCCACCTCAGGACCCTCATCTGTAAAACAGCAATAATGACTGCTCTAAGGCTATGGTGAGGATAGAGTGGCTTAACTCATGTGCTTCCTGGTATGTGGTTAGCAACAGTTAAATGTTAGCTTTGTGGTCATGTTCTGTACCTGTATCACCTGGCCGTGCACTCTCTCCTCATCTTAGAAGATTTCAGATAGTTAGAGAAAAATCTGGAATATTATAAACATGCTGTTTCATTAAAAATGTTAAATAATTTTTAACAATATTTACAGAGTCATTTTTCTCAGGAGAACTTGGTCTTCCTTCTCTTGTGCAGAAGCTAATGGGACAGCATCTTGCCCCCCTGCTATCCTATCTGGGTTCTGGACTTCTGTTTACCCCTGACTGTTCGACTCTGGTCCAGTCGTGTATTTCTGTGTGCTTTGGCGTTCCATTTTCATGGTGGGGCTGATACTGCCTGATTTGTCCAGGGCTAGAGAACCAGTGAGCCACCAGTGTTTTCCACCTGCTACAGGAAATTTCCATGTGTTCTTGTCCCGCTCCCGCCACCCCTGTCCAAAGGTGGAGGCGGGGCCAAAGAAAATTTGAATACATGAAAGCAGGGCGATTAAGTATTTGTTTAGTGTTGTCCTTGTTATATTAGGGTTAGAGAGCCATCTAATTTTCTCTGCTAGTTTGTTCTCTGAAGGGGAATAAAAGATACTTCTAAAATTGTGCATACACAGTGATTTAATCAACAAATTGAACTAGAACAGAGAGGATTAGAGGTGACAGAGGCCGTCCTTGATTTGTTTGTCTTCAGATGGTGGCATCATGCCAATGGTAAATAAAGTTACCTGCCCCACAAGGAGCTTCTTGTGGTGCCATGGTAGGAATAAAGATGACTTCACTTTTGAATATCATAATATGAGCCCTGCCTTTGGCAAATGAAATCATCCTGTCTCTGTCCTTTGCAGGCAGCAGCCAACCAGCTGGTTATGGCTTTCTTGAGCAGATGCCGTGCCAGGCTGGAACTTTACCTTCTGCCGACAGTTCACTTCTTCATACCCTATTTTAGAAAAGAAGTGAATGCTAAATTATGGGCTACCCATTGACTTCTGATGGGCAGTTTTTGGCCTAAAGTTTTGAGGCGAAACAACTGGTCCCTAAATACTCCGGACCCCACCTGGAATTCCTCTGTTCATCAGGGAGGATGGCGAGCAAGACCGGGCCCTGACCTTCTTTCCCCCTTGATGTGGGGGGACTTGCAGCCACAGAGCTGGATTAGATTAAGGTGCATCTTGAATTCAAACGAGACGTCCCAGGAGAAGTGCTCAGTGCTGCTGACGGCAAAGGCAGGGTGTGACCCTGGGGGTCCATGTGGCCATGCTTTGGCCTTCAAAATGTGAGACAATAAAGACAGAGATTCTTCCTTCCCGTCCCCTTTCCATCCCCTCCTTCTGCACTCGAGCCAAAGCAGCAGGGACCCGGTTCATAGCTTAATAAACTGCTTCCTTAAAGAAATGTCAGGACACCGACCAGCCAGTAAATGTGCTCTGACTCCGGGCGGGTCCTCTGACTGGGGTGGGAGGCCACACACACTTAAAACTCAGAAAAGTCTGGAAACCAGAAAAGAACAGTAGCTTATTTTAATTGTCATATATTCTCAGTCTTTGCCCTCATAATTATATAGC